ATACACACACATACATATACATACATATATATATATATATTCACATATATATATATATATGTTCGTATACATGTGTGTGGGAAACCCTGTGACCAAGGGACAAACTGCATGCAGTATAGAGCAGGGGGATGGAGCAGGTCTATGGAGCTCCATTTAACTTCAAAGCTCTCCACAGTGTCCTGAGAATTGGATCATGGAATGTTTCCGGGTGTTTGTTGGTTTTCGGTTCGACCCATATACAAAACTTGCAAGAATCACAGGGATGGCGACACTTGAGACTGTATTCGAGGTTTTTGTTTTTGTGAATTTATACGGTTTTCGGCCTGCTGGTCGACCGCCGCTTCCACCGCCCTCAGCCCGCTTCCATTGCCCCATTTGCCCCCACCCTTGGCGGCTGCAGCCATTAAACCGAGCGTGTGCACCCTGCGGACCCGAGCCTCAGGCGAGTGGTGGCCTTGCTAGCTTTGCTTGAGCAAAAGGCGCGTGCCGCCGAATGGGTTGTGGAAGCCCTCCAAGGACGGCGCATCATCAGCATCAGCGGGTTCGGCGGAAGGGGGGTGCGTGGCCTTGCTCCAGGCCTCTACCTGCGCTGCCCGCCGGTGGGCGCAGCCCCTAGAATCGGGCAGCGCTCGGTCCCGAGCACGCGCGCCCTGTGGATCCGAGCCTCGTAGCCATGGGGAGCCATCAAAGGGCGCTCATCATGAGCATCAGCGGCCCATCAGCCGCATCAGTGGGGCCCTGGGGACACGGGGGAGGGGGGAGAAGGACCCCGTCGTCCTTGTCAAATGTTGTTCTATAAGGTCTGCGGTTTGAAGCACAAACTTATATCGGTTTGTCCGGGTTGCTGCCTGCGCTGCCCGTCTGCAGATCATTCTTCCTGATGATTATCTCATGCAGCCAACAAGAGGTGTTTGTCCATCTCAAATAGAGGTGATCATAATCACTGTCGATGCGGCGAAGAAGATCATCGCTATTCGAGTGCATGGATTGACACGAAAGTATAGACCTCATCATACTTTGAAGCTGGGCCAAAATGGAAGGCACGTGTAATTTTTAACCTCAGTCACGGAGTTTGCTGTCAATCCGCCGGTTCAATTGCTCGTCACGCACCACGACTACAAAACCTCGTGTTCTCATTCTGAGATGAAGTGAATCGCCAATGTCGTCTCACTCGCATTCACTGCGATGTACATCAGTTGTAATTGTAGCTTTCACATAGTCGCCTTAGTCGCTGCCTGTGTGACCCTGTCAGCAAGGGACAGACGGCATGCAATATAGAGCAGGGAGCTGGAGCCGGCCTGTGGAGCTCCATCTACCAAAGCTCTCCAGTGTCCGGAAGATTTCACCAAGGACGCCTGGTTATGTACCTGCTTTTGCAACGGCAACCAGGCCAAGCCACAAAGCTGGCATGTCGAAGTGAATGTTGGTGTAAAAGCTTTTAACCGCCTTCGTGGCTAAAGATCTTTACCTCTGGAGTAGACTTACATTTCACGGCAAGCAAGTCAGACGGAGGATTGCACGAGTGTGTGTGTGTGTGTGTTGTGTGTTGCGTGTTGCGTGTGGTGTGTGGTGTGTGTTGTGTGTTGTGTGCTGAGTGCTGGGTGTTGGGTGTTGGGTGTTGGGTGTTGCATGTGGTGTGTGGTGTGCGGTGTGTGGTGTGCGGTGTGTGGTGTGTGTGTGTGTGTGTGCGCATGGGTGTGGGTGTCGGGGGGCACGTGTGCTCTAGAGACGCAAATGGTTCGGACTACCAAGATTGACGTCAACTGGGGCGGGATTGTATCGGCACCGCAGCTGCGCTGCTTTATTCGATTTCGCACGCGAGACTACCATTCGGATCACTTTAAAGATTGTTGCAGAGTGTGCTTTCACATAGGGGTAGATGGTCGGATTGTTTAATACTTAATGGGTCTACTTCGGGCTCATGTTTCCAGGATTACGGAAATATAGGCCCGGAGAGAGTGCTGGCGTGTAGGAGCTCCTCATGCAAAACGTTGCATGAGGTTTGTGAACACGGCCGCAGTTTATATGCTGGCTCTGTTTTCTCGGATTTGCTGCCGAGAGTGCAGAGGGAACTATTCGGGTTCTCGAGGCCCGGCTAGGCAGTGTCTTGTAAAAAAGGAAGAAACCATGGAAAGTCTAACTGCCGTATCGCGAGCCCGGTTTTCTGGCTCAGATCGAGTGGAATAAAGATCGAAGCAAGCGCAGAGTTAACTTCGACGAAAAGAGGGATAGACAGACACGGAATGTGTTGCCGGTGTCTACGCCTGTGTACTGCACCGAATACTGATCCCTGGTTTCTACTGGCAGTCCGTTGTATCCTCTTCCCAGACCTGTAAACAACAACCAAGACGACAACTTCCAATAGCATCTACTATTGGCTACTGTTTATTACCGTGTTGCTTCCAAAGCGGGCTGTGAACTTCCATAGGCATACCCTGGCATACTAGGATTGTGTGCCTCTACACCCTAAACCCTGAGCCCTCAACGGCAAAAATACACAGCTGAAACACGACGTATTTCTTGATGCAGCTGCAGGGGCACACGGAAAGTCACCTCGGCACCCATCGCAGAGATACTGACTAAGCTACTAAGCAGGAACTCTTGATGGTTGCAAGATGACTATACGCTCCGACTGTGCACGCTGGACCTAAGACACTATGCCCAAGCCATCATCAAAGATCATGGTGTTTGGTCCACCTGAGAAAAAACCTCCTAAGCCAAAATCCAAGAGGCCCACAGCTGGCAGACCAAGAAAAGGATGAAGAGCAGCAGTGGAACCAGCCAGCAGCTTCGAAGGGTTTGCGAAGAAACCACGATCCTGACAGAACCCTACTTATACTTCCGCGCTGATACCTCTCCCACATGCTGAAAGTGAGTGACCTGTCCAGACTCACTGCAGCTTAGACGGTGCGTGCGTGGGCTCATAATCTTCCCGGTATCCCCTGAAAAACAGCCAGCAGCTCGATCGTACTTCAGAAGCAATTGCCGGCTGGAACTGAAATTATTGCTCTCAGAAAAGGCTGGGAACACGAAGTACGAGTAGAGCAACTCTTACATCCAAGTCCGACAATAAGAGAAAGAACACTGCTGCCACTGAGAAGGGCGACAGAGCGAGCAGCACCCCACTGCAGAGGAAGATGTATGTGTACAAGATGATGGCAGTGAGGAGTCCGAGCGTGATTCTGGTAGACAGGCGCTCCCAAGCACAGCAAACGCGGCTGAGCACACGAAACAAGATCGGTTGTGCAATTGGGTATATCATCAGGTCGTTCAAGAGCCAGAAGCTGGCGAGACCTCCCATGTATCCCTGCACAGACAGATCCAGCTCGTGTGCTTGCATTTGGCAGGAAACGTCACTGCAGCTCAGCAGGTCCACCAGAGAGAACAGCGCCATGGGAAGGGATGCCACCAAGCAAAGATGATAAGGCACATGCATGCCATCCCCGATCTTCTCAAGCACCGCCTGCTTGAGGGGGCCCCTCACGTAAGCATTGAAGCAATCGAGTGGCTCCATATTCTGGTCCATCATTAAACATGTGTTCAAGCCACCACTTCCATTGTCTATTACGGCAGCTTTTTGACGCGCGAGCAGCTCACCAATCCGCTTCTCAACGAGACGTCGATCCGATTCTAAGGTGCATTTGGCCGCCCGGATATCGAAATCAGCCATTTGTTCCAGCATGAAGCTGTGCTTTCTCATCTTGCTGAGAACAGCAACGACTGCAGGGATGGCTGTGAGGTAATACGAGACACAGCTCACGACGCATATCATCACATAGTACACGAAAAAATGCGCTTCGGCAGAATCAGTGCCGAGGGTGTGCATCAACAGGTAGTCGCAGGCGGCAAAGCCTTCAGAAACGACAGAGGGTTCCTGGCAGAGCATAGGATGCAGCCAAGCACTGGCCTAAATTGGAACCAAGCGCTTCGGCACCTCACTTGCCACCAAGCATCCGAGATGATGTTCGAGATGACTCGCAGGGCGGAAACGCTCACTAAGTCCGTGAGGATAAATGCCAGCAGCCAGGGTGCTAACCACATCGGGACGAACTCAACTTTCTGAGTTCGTTGCGCAGAGAATCCGGTGAAGGTAGCTAGCTCCAAATTGCCTCAGACACTATGGTCAAACTGCAGCGCCTTTGACTTAGACATCATCAAAGCCGGCAGCTACTGTGACGTTTTGCTATGTGGGTGTGATGAAACATTGAGCACGACGGGCGTGGCTTTGCTTGGTGTCTAAGGCCACTCAGCGTACCCGGATGTACCCGCTTTTGGCGTCGTCTGTAAAGCTCTGTCAGGACAAGTGACACCACATTCGCTCAAAGTAATCATCATCCCAAAGGACGAGCATCTGCTTGGAATGAGCAAGGAACACTGGGAAGGCGGAAATAGCTTTGGCTTTCATGCACTCGTCGGTCTGCAGAACACATAACTTGTCTAGCCACAGAGTTGGCGACCAGCGCCCGCCTGTTATCGTTTGGCCAAAGAAGAATACGAGGAAAAAGATGGACATGGGCAAGTAGCCCAGCAAAGGCATAACCAGAGGATCGCCACCCAAGCCAGTCACAGAGCCAGCCGCGAGCAGCATACAAGCTGCGACAATGAGCGCGGAGGACAAGGTCGCCTTGACTGCCATGCCAAGGTTCAAGAAGAAGCACATGGCCAAAAACTTCACCCATCGCCGTGCTCCCCAGTTGTGGCTGATGAAGACATCCACCTGTCTTACCTCAGCATGCACATCAAACTCTCGACTCTACCACTCGTGCGGAGACCCTTTTGCCGGCCCGACCTTCTCACGTTCTCTGAAGGCGCACGCGCAGGCCTCCCGCACCTGGGCGCGCTCAGCCTCGGACTCAAGATCGTCCAAGCCTGAGGCCACAAGGGACAAGGGACGAGCAAGCATCAAGCTCAAGCCGGTCATGCCTCTTCCAAACACAGCGCCGCATCCCGACATGACCTCGGCTACGTCCGACGGAAGACCGCCACGAAACCGGAACACCCTGTTAGAAAAAAACTACTCAACCGGAACATGCCACAAGTACCTAGGCTGGAATTCCCAAAGAGACCTAAACCTACTGCATCCTACACGATGATACTCCCTGTCCAAGGGCCACAGGGGCAGCAGCGGCGCGGAAGAGCCCGTCTTCGCACATCTTTTCGGCATCCCCGTCGCCCAATGCATCCATTCCTCTCAGCAGCTGGTACTATAATGTTTTGTGGCACAGTGCCTGTACTTCTCAATGCGAGGCTGAAGGCTGAGCAGTGAGGATTGATGGAGGTCAGGTCTTTTTGTGTTGGGTTAAACCTCTGTTTGAAGAACAAATGAAAATAACGTGTACCTACGGAGAAGCTGCCTTTCGCGATTGCTGCTTTCATCCGGAGCAGAATGATTTCATCCCTTTGTGGCACCGGCTTGCCCCTTTGGGGCTCCGGATGGCCTAAGCTGGCCTTGAACCAAAGCGGCGGACAAGATCAGCAGTGTCACCCTCCTTTCCGTATCCCAGGAATCACTGTATGCACAAGTCACATCTTCGCCCTCTGCAGTAAGGTGATGAGATGGGTTGGGCAGAGGCTGGCTCCCGTGCGCTCGGCGACCCTGATCGAATGCCGGCGAGCCACCACAAGAGCGGCAAAAGCGAGACTCAGCACCATCTGAGTAAAGCGCGCGGCAGCTACAGGACTGGCTACGAGCCACTCGCCCTAAGTCTGTCTTGACTTGTGTGCCTCGTTCGGATTTTCTGTCTGCACAATGCACCGAACCAAGCAAGGATCTTCGTATGCGGTGGTCGTTAGGGAGGTGAGCAACAATGTCGTTGATGTCCAAGTCTTGATTCCCTCTGTTCCCATGGCCACCTACATGTGCATGTATGCATCATGTAATTATGTATACAGCTTTCTACTCTTGGGCTTTAGCAACTCGGTGAAACTCCTTGGCCAATTCTCGCAAAGTCTGCTTCTGCGGGCCTGCACAGCCGAAATCGGCTCAAGTCAACAAAACAAACTCAGTCTGCAGGATTTCTGTCGCCAGTGCGACCCTTGCTGCCCATGCCTTCCTCAGTGAACCCAAAGTTTCCTTTAGGACTCCTTTGCCTTGTAGTCACCTCTTTGCCGCTCCTCGTCCTCCTAGGTCCTAGGGAGCAGCGCCGTGAGGCTCGTGTCTTCCAGAAACGCTGGCCTACAACATCCAGCTGCAGGTCCGGGGGAAAATGGAGCCTTGAAAGCAGCACATGAAGCTTGCCATACGGAGTCAAAGAGCACAACAGGGTCAGTACTGAGCAGTGAGAAAGCGCGGCCTAAATCCACAACGAAACAACCGTCCGAGTCCGTAGCTCAAAGACTTGTCTTGCCCCAAACCCGAAGAGCACCCTCCAAAGTCACAGAAACAAAGCCTGCAACATCTGCAACTTTGTGTCCGTGAGCCATGGCTGGGCTCACTAGCCGCACTCGTTAGCAGTTCCACAACCTGCCATCCGGGGCTTAGGCTTCTGATTCTGCTTTCGGAGACCTTACGGAGGCTGATGTGGTCCGTCGCTGCCGGACTTCAAGGTTTAGGCTGTGATGAGTCTGGCGAAAGCTTGCCAGCCACTCATTTCAAGTTACGCTCTTCTGACTCGGGCCGTACCCACGCCTGCTTACCACAAGCGAATGGATCCGAAAGCCTCCTATCTCTTGAAAAGAAACGGCGCGAAGTGTAAGAGCCCCGGACTTTCAAGGGCCTCCTGGCATGTGCCTGGTGCCAGATGTTCTGCAGCGGCGAGTGCCTGCTGGGTCTCTCAGCTCCAAGAACTTGGGCGACGTCTCGAAACTAAGGGCACAGCTCCAAGAAGGTCTCAGGTCTCAAACCTATATTCCGGTCAGCTGTTGATCAGCACATGCTCGGGACCGAAAGTCACTGATGCGAATCATGTTTACCCTCTGTACTCCATAGGCGAAACGCCCACCTAGAACATGGCTCAGCGATCCTCTGTGAAACCGCTCGGCTTTCTCCAAGCCGTCAGCGAGCTTTCGAAACCCGCCTCTTCACTTCGCACACACACACACACACTGTACAATGCGCAGGCCGCAGGTGATTTCGGCTTCACCAGCCCGGTCTAAGGCACCGGATCTGGTCTGACAGAGCATCGGGAAGACAGCTCGGGGCGCTCGTTTCAGCAACCGAACGGACCGCGCCTTCTGCTGACACAGAACCTACCTCGCCGCGCCCATGGCATCAGCGATATCACAACAGTACCAATCAATCAATGTCGAGCCCCCGACACGGAAGCTCTGATCACGAACAACAATATCTGATCCCGAGCATCGAAACCCGCATCACGAAATTTCGCTTTGGCGCCCGAAACACTTGCACGCACAACCCCATGTCGGGCTAGGTTCTAAACCCTCGCAATGAGCCCTCGCGAGCCTTGGTTCCGTTGTCGAGCTGTGGGACACGGGTGCCCTTAGACGCCCCAGACACCTCAAGGGCATCTACGTTCAGCAGCAACTATCGTACTGAAACGAACATTCTGAAAACAGTTCCCCAGGATTGTGCTCCTGATGCAGCTCACGGCTTACGCAATCCAGATTCTCGGGCGGTGCCCTTCGGCGTCGGCTTGTGACTTGTGATCTTCTAGCTGTACTTTCCAAGAAGACTTTGTCGACAAGTTCGCTGCAAGTGCGCTTCATGTTTCGGCCTTAAGCAATCCTGGCAGGCATCTCCAAAACCCTTCAACAGCTCTGCAAGTCGAAGAGATGGATCTCAGTCGCAGCATCGAGCACTTCGCACCCGAAACTCCACGAGCAACCGACCTCGCCGACGGTCAGCGAGGCGAGGCCACGCCTAATATCCCAAAGAACCTGTGTGCCGCAGGATGAGACACCATCACACACCATCTTGAAGTCTCCCATGCCAAGGGGGCACCAAAACGATCACAGTCGCCATCCTCCATCACCATTGCAATCATCTGGTTAATAAATCATTGCGGGATTGTCGTACCAGTGAGGACTACCGGTGAGGCGGCTAGGAATGATGTCGGAAGCGGCAGCACAGCCAATGGGTTGTATCACTGCAAGCAGCAAGATCTGTAGCCCCTCCTTGCGATGCTAGCAGCTAGCAAGACTTGGGGGAACAGAAACATAGAGGAGACGAGGCCTATAGTATCAAGGTACAAGCGATAGCAAACATAAAGGTACCAGCGATGGTCGAAAGAACTATGCTTGCAGTGTACTTCGTCTGATGCACTGCAATGGTAGGTGCTGCAGTGTCAGCAAATTACAAGTGTAAGAGCAATGCTCCGAATCTGGATTCACCAACTGCGTGATAAAGCATCAACATGCGGACATCAACATCATAAGGCTTGCAATGCTGGAAATACTAGGCCATAACCAAAGCAGCATATTTGTTTCGCCAACAATAATGAAAAGCCTGCTCGTGAAACAAACACATCGCAATAAGAAGAAAGGGTGCCATTGGCAGGCGTCAGCGGCTGACATCCTCCGCGCCTTTCGCATGGCGGCCGTCGCCAAGCACACTGACAAGGCTCCATCTGCCGATCCGGCAGTGGTAGCTGGGTAGCCCAATGGACGGAGAGATTCCAGGCGCTTGGCAGCGCTAAGCAGATGCTGACTACGCCGGCGACCCGCCACCTGGACGACCATGTTTTGGCTCAAATGCAAGGAAGGCATGCCGGTCCGGCGACAAATGCTGGCGGACCACCTCCTCCGAAGAAAGCCCCGCCGACTCCTCCGCCAAGGTCTTCAACTGGTCCCGGGACATCAAGTGGCGCACCTCCTTATGGATCAGGGCGCACCGCCTGATGACTCGAGGAGATACGGCTTCTATGACCGCAGTGGGTGGCACGACATCAGGACTACTATGATGGTCTTGTTTCCTCCTCGGAGGATGACCTTCCATACTCCCAACGTCGCGAGCGCCGAGGTGGACGCAGGCTTCGTTACTGCAGGGTTTGCCATCGGTACAAGTACTGAGGAGATGGGTACTGCTATTACTGAGGTCAGCTACCTCGGGGTTCACGGCAGCATCAACGGCGAGATCGTGGTGTCGCTCCGCCAGACGCAGGACAGCCAAAGACCAAAGCTCCGCCACTCCGATCCTCGCGACCGAGCCCGAGACCTTCAGCAGCTTTGCGACCGGTGCTGCAGCGAGGTCCCCGACTTGTCCTGAATGCCGTCTCCGCAGGACTGAGAAGTCCCAACGATACCGGCCACATGACGACGGGCGACCGAGGTGGCCTTGGATCGTCGCCGCACCATGGGACCGGAAGAGGCTGGGGCAGGTGAACCACCACGCAGCAAGCCAAAGGTCGATGCATCAAACCCCGAGCCCGCAGGAGCAGTACCTCACAAGGTGAAACCTAGACTTTTAATTTGAGCTACCGCGACGTGGCGCACCTCCCTCCCGCAGCTTTCCCCACAGCAAAGCCGACTTCGACGGCAACCAGCGGAAGAACCCTCCTCTGCAGGAGTAAGAATTTTAAAAGCCGTACCGGCCTGGCTAAGACCTGCTCGGAGCATACAGCGCTCCATCTGTGGAAACTTCTGGTGTTCCACCCGGTGCAAAGCACCAAAGCAGGCTTTAAGACCTGACCGTTTCTTGTTGTATCAGTTGCATCGCTTCTTTTCAACAATTCAGAATGGGACCGGCTCTTTCTGCTTAATAGGTCGTAGGGTAGCTTGGCCCTTTCTCTCTTTAATTAGCTGTGAAGCCCACGGACCCGGCTTTCGTGTTGGTTGGCTTGTTTTGTTTTCGGTTGGTGATTAGGCGACTTGGACAATCTCACGACGGCCCAACGGGGCGTATGCCACAGTCGTTCCGACTTTCTCAAGGTTTGACTGTGGCGCTCCGCCGTTACTTACTGCTCGTCCACTCGTCGCAGCAAAAAGTTTGTTCGTGAGTGCTCCACTTGCTGCATTTCTTTTGGTATGGTCAAGGGTGAATAGGCAGAACTGGGTGTGTGGGTGTGGGTGTGGGTGTGGGCGTGGGTGTGGGTGTGGGTGTGGGCGTGGTGTGCGTGTGGTGGGTGGGGGGTGCGTGGGTGTGTGGGTGTGGCGACACCAACAAAATTCAAACCTTTCCCAAGTTTTGTTTTTGGGGGGATTTCAGTACAAAATCAAAAAAAACCTAGAGAATATAATGATTTTCTAATCCGCCACAGCCCAAGTTCC